CAGACAGACAGACAGACAGACAGACAGACAGACAGACAGACAGACAGACAGACAGGCAGACAGACAGACAGACTGGCAAAGAGTGAGAGAAAGGGAGGGGGGCGGGGGTTGAAACCATGAGAACACACTCTATTAGTTTGTATCGACAGCAGCTGCTGCAAGAAATCCCTGCTGAGGATTGGAACAAATGATAAACGACGTCAATACCGAACAATAATAAAATAGAACCTTTATTTGCATTTTACTCCCTTTTTAGATTTACAATTTTGACAACAGTTATTACGAGGGATTTTGCTGCTCTAGCTAAGGTAATAGATCAGAGAAAAGGTGGGAACAACACCTGTCCTCCACTACATTCGAAGGTAAACAATCAGGTGGTTTGGACAAATACAGAAAGTATCAGGGTACAAGGGAAGAGGAAGACCAAAAAAAGACCTGGATCCAGGGTGTGAAGCATACCATGAAAACATACAATATCCCAGCCAGCCAGGCCATCAAACTTGCCAGAGACATGAAGCTCTTTCTCTCCTTGACGCCCTAGAGGTACAAGAGGACGGATAAAGTAAAACAAGTAAAGTAAGTTAATGTAAGAGTTTTTAGACATCAAAGCTTAAAGGACATGTATAAACTTAAGTGTCCGTATCAAGTTTGTGGGTATCTTCCGCCCCCCCCCCTCCCCACTGACTTCTTTGTCTGAAAAAATGCTCCGGCTCTGACAGCCTCAATAGCTTGTTGTTTTTGTTGTTTTGTTGGGGTTTTTGGTTGGTTGTTGAGGATGTTGTCTTTTGAGTTGTTGTTTTTGCTGTTTTTGTTGGGGGGGTTTTTTGGTTTGTTGTTGTGTTTGCTGCTTTTTTGGCAGTTTTTGCTATTTATTTTTGTTGTTGTTTTTATTTGTTATGTCTATGGTTACAGTTGACATACCATCATCCTTGCTGACTAGCGTGGTGAATCATGGACCTCCACGTCTATCTGTCTTGCGTTGCAGCGATGGTGTTATTGTTCTAGCTGCTCCTAGCCATGTTGTCAACTTGTCCAATATCTTTACTCTCTCTCTGCCTCTGCCTCTCTTTCCATCAAACTTGCCTATAATTGTTACAATATTCTCCAATGCTTCTTTCCGCATTGTGTGTCCAATAGAATTTGCCTGTTGACATATAACACCCTCCAAAGCACAATGAACGCCATTTTCAATGCGGGACATTTGATGCTCGAGCCAGGACACCAGAAATAAGATTACAATTGCTCGCGTTTAAGGACAAGCGGGCTAACCCAGATTTCGGGGGTTTCCAGAAATCTTGACCTACACCAAAAGTGGACATAGCCCTACGTTTAGGAGAAGTTTGGTTTCATTGATGTGTATATTTGTTTGGTTATTGACAAAACTCTCCTTATATTTTGAAGAAACTGAACTAGATCTAGGGGCAAACACTTTTCCTTCGATTTTCGCAAAACAGCATTTTTCGGGATAGCCCCCATGACCAAATAAGATACCAATTATAGGCCAACTATTATTATTTTACTTCGAGTTGGAGATTGGGATCCTTTTCGGATTCGAGCCTCGGCCTTCCGCGAAACAATTCAAGTTCATCCGCTGTAGCCTTCACTCTGCTGGAATAATAGTATGGGTGGTGTCGAATCAGCTTTCTTTCTTCTTTGTTTTTTTTTTTGTTTCTTTGCTCGCAAATTCTTCATCCTTGTCGTGTATTACCCTAGTCTTTGTGCGCCCCCTTTATCTCAGTAATGGTAATGATGGCAGACACTGACACTGAACAAAAGGGG